TTTAGACACTAAACCTTCGAGCCGTGGAGGAAGAGGAGGCGGTGGAGGGGGACCTCTACTTGATGCTCCTGAGGGCAAAGATGGTGGTGGGATGGATGGAGGTGAGGAAGGTGATGCATATAAGTCAATTTTATTGCGTGGAGGAGGTGGTGGCGGAGGTGGAGGAGGTGGTGGAAGAGCCTTTACAGTGGCTTTGGTTTGTGAAGCTGAAGTTTGGGAAGACTGCAGAAATGAACTATATAAGACTCCAGATGAGGAAGGTGGTGGTGGTGGTGGTGGTGGTGGTGGGGCTGGCGGGGTCGGTAGTAATAAATGATGTGTGGAGTAAGCAGATGTGCCTTTAGCTCCTCCGATCTTCAACGGTGGTGGTGGTGGTGGTGGAGGAGGAGGGTTAAAATGGCCATTAGCAAAATATGAACTTGTTGGAGTACTAATAGAAAGGGGTGGAGGTGGGGGTGGGGGTGGGGGTGGGGTGCGGGTATTATGAGCTTGCAACTTAGGAGGGGTTGAATGCTCGCCACAAGCAGGTGGAGGTACCACCAAAGCAGATAGAGGTGCTTCCTCAATTGGAGATAACACATGACATATAGAAGATTGAACTGACAACTGCAGGGAAGATGCAGCTTTATCTGCACAAGCTGGAGTTTCAGACACCACTGCAACTTTACCACTTATATAACCTTGATAAGCCGCAGAAATGGCTAGAGCAGCTGGTGCACTGTTATACCTGGATGGAGGGTGAGAAGGCAAATGCACTGAAGTAGCATCAGAGTCTTTTCTTGGTGAGATCCACCTAGCAACTGTCTTTGCCTGTCTCGAGCTTTGTTGATCTGCTGCAGATTCCTGCTGTTTAACCATTGTCTTAGATACTAGGGAATCAGGTCGTTTTGTGCCTGATGATGGTTTCTCTGGCATGGTATACGAAGATATTTCTAGAGTCTGCTTCTCTTCACCATTTCCAAATTTCTGATTGAGAATTTTGGGCTGTGTCTTGCTTTGAGCAACAACTTTGTCTGGCTCCCTTTTGCACTCCAATTTAACTTCTTGTGATAGACCCTGGTTTCCTTGATTGTGACCCTTGTCAAGCAGAGTTTTCCTGGTAGTAATATTCTCTTGATTGAACCTTGACTTTATTTTTTCAGGTCTGTTGTCAGCATCATGTGTCGAAGTCAAAATTTGTGTCTTGCAAGTCATGGTACATGAGGTCATTGTCTTCTCAGAGGCCAGGCCTGATGCATCTTGCTCAATATTGTATGTTTCAGCTATATTCTTCTCTTCAACATCAAGTGCAATAATATCCTTCACTTCATGTTCAGAGTTGCTGACCTCTACTATATTCTTCTCCTCACAAGTAACTGTGTAATCCATATATGTCGACTCTTTGCTGATAATCTTGCCAGTACTACTGCAAGCAATGGGAGGAAATTTGGTCATTGTTTCTTCTGTCACACCTGGAATTCTCAGTGCACTTCCACTATACTGTTCGACTTTATCTTGATAGGTGCTACTGTCAGTCTCTCTTTCAGGAAGATGTTTGGCCAGACTGGGAATTTCACCAATAGAATTAGATCTTGTTTCAGAAATGTTCTCTGAGCCATGTTTATAGTCACCATTTTCCCATTTTCTTTCAGTTGTATCTGGAGCTTCTGTATCAACAAAATTATGTGTCATATTCACCAAACCTGTAACAGTCTCAGTCTCCTGCTTAAGATTGTTAATCTTCATTAGATCGTTTTCTTCACCCAGTGAAGTAGCAGTTCCTTTTTTGTCCTGTCGCAATGTGCTGCATTCTATCATTTTCTTCTCTTCGATCTGAACCATACATTCTGAAGTGACTGATTTCACCATTACAAATTCATCATCATGCTCACATTTGTCAGATTCAGAACTAGTCTTAGCTGGACCATGCATGTTACAGGTTTCTATCATGATATATTTGCCATCTGTTTCTGTCAACTTTTGGGAAACCCTTGTCTCTGAATCCTCTTCAGCTTTGCTTGTCTCAAACCTACTCCTTGCTTCACCAGTCAAATTACAGATTTCCACTATTGAACTCCCATCATCAACGGATGTTGCATTTCTAAATGTAGTAGCTTCAGTATCTCGATTCACATTTTGCCAGTCAGCATTGGTAAATATCTCTTCAGCCTCAAAAAACTCCTCTGTCTCCGTGAAAGCACCTTCTGTTTCATCACCATCTTCAATCAGCGATTCCGTGCTTGAATCAGATTCAAAAGCATCAAATTCTGAAAATATTACCTGGTTCATGCATAACGTGTGTTTAAATTCAAAATCCTGCTAGGTAGAAATGGACAAACTAGGGAAAAATAGGCACCTACCTCAGCTTTGAAATCTCTAGAAAAATGAACCTTCGTATTCCACACAACGTCAATTTCCTCACGAGACAGCATCAGAATATTAGATTGGATAAAGGCTGTATTGAACATAACCCTGAACATTATCTCCTCATGTTCCAGATCTTTATCCAGATTGATGCATTCAACAACTACATCTCCTTGCACACGACAACGAGTATTTAATTTTACTGGTGCAGCCTCCGCCTGCAGTGAGAGTCCAACACCCAGTAAATTCGAAGAGCAATGTCGTTGAGATGGAAGAAATGAGTATTACCTGTTTGTAGTGCCGAACATGCTTCTTGGTCTTAGGTGTTGCAAAAAGAATCTTCGCGTTCCTACTATTGGGAACCAATGGGTCTTGACCATAAATGCGAATCATCGGCCTGCAACCTCCTTCTCCATCAAAATTAGGTATGACCCTAAGAATCAAGCGATTCAAAATTAGGGGCATATCTTTTGGAGGCCATTCTGGTGCATTTCCTCCTCTAGATATGTACTGAAGATATCTTTGGTGAGATGGTTGTGGGTTTAAGGGCGACAAAACATGGAGTAGCTCCTTAGGGGCTTGTTTATACACCATTTCAAGGGTCTTTTGCTCACCAGTGTACTGTTTTCTATAAAGAAGTAAGCCAGCAAGCATGAAGGCTAGCATGGGCCAGCCTCCTCTCTCACAGTGCATCAACAACACATTTTGTTGCCCTTCCAATGACAGCCAGCTCTCACTCGACTTCAAGAAGTGGTGGATCATCTCCAAAGGAAGCAAAGGACATCCTTCATACTGTAGGGGATAGTCCATGACCGTCATACCATACTCAGTTAAAATATCTGAAATTTGGCTCCTTTGATCCCCCTCTCTAAAATTAAATACCATGAAGGAGGCATCTGGAAAATAATCCTGCAGTTGAGAGACTATGCCATTCATGTAGACCTTGTAGGCATCTTCACCAAGAGTTTCCGTTGAGAAGCAGCAGTCGAACACTACAACACAGCCATTCAAAAATCTCAGCACGTATTCATAAAGATAAAAGAAAAATACACTTCGAAACTTGATCTTTTCGAAAGAGTAATCAAGAAATTGAAGAGAAGGGTGTATAACAAGATAAAAAGGATTGAGAAGGCCACGCTAATTGCAAAACCAAGATAAGACTATAACGCCCAAAAGGAAATCCAGTACTAACTAAAAAAACTTTGGAGTTTGATATTTCAATGACTTTGCAGCATTTTGTTTTCTAAGATCAAATTAGTAAGTTTTATCAATTTAAAAATCCTCTAGAGTACGATGGCTAAAAGCGCAGTACATTTTAATTCTCCGGAATGATTCAACTGTCTTCAAGAGCTTCTGCCTTTGCCGAGGGGAAAGAAGTAGCTGAAGAGTATTACGCCCAAAACGTCCGACAATCAGCCATATCAAACAAATTCAAGAACCGAATGCTAATCGAAATCTCAAATTGTGAAGCAAACCCGCCAGATTCCTCAAATTACCCCTCAAAAACCAATCAACCCGCAAAACCCACTAATTTCCTAAAGATGAATTATACTTTTAGGTCAAGGGAAAGAGGATATACCATAGACTCTTTCCGAAATCTCCAACAGCCGATCCGGCGGCTTCCGGTAGAAGAGCCTCCTGAACAACGCCATCCGCCGGCGCTGCCACCGGCAGCCAACGCTGCTCCCCCCGTCGGATCCAAACCCGAGACCTCGACCACCAACCGATCAATTCAATCGCCCGCTCCACCTCACCGCGACCGGAAATCCGATCGCGGCCGCGAGCTACCCCTCCGATCGAGCAGCTCTCCCAAGGGCGAGATCGTTGTCGAGATCGGTCGATCGCGAGGGTTTCGCCCTCACCACTACAGGGAAAGGCGAGAACAAAGAATAATCAGAGACCGACTCCTTTGGGTTTTCTTCCGCCCCCTTTTCTTTTTCGTTTTTTACTGTTTTGACGACGGACGAAGCTGCAGTAGTAGTCTGGGAGGGGAACGGGGTTTTGTGCCGTAGCTCGGCGTCACGGGAAGCGTCCAAGCTTTGCTTTGGGGTGACGAGTGGTAGATGAATGGTCAGGATCCGCGTCGACGGCGCATCGGACGGTGGATATCGCGGTTGAGTTGGGAACTTCCCGACGCAGGAGACTGCGACGGACACGTGCCGGTGATTTAGCGAAAAATAAAAAGGCCCTTCGGACAAGTCGACCATTAGATTATGCGGCGTGATGTACTGCGGGCGTAAAAGTCGGCCAAACGAATCATGCGCTGTCTTAACGGGTCTTTATTTAGACGGTAGCGGATCGGATTATCTAATCCCGATTGATCTTGGCACATCGATGAATCCTTATTATGTACACGTTTATTCTGATCGAATCATGCCGTGCGGATCTTCCATTAGAGGAAACCGTCCCCGGCAAATCATGATCCGGTCATCAAGATTGATCCATCCCAACAAGGAACTGTGTGTGTCGCTCAGACTGGTTGAATCACCCGTGAAGGATTCCGCAGGTGGTGTCCGCCCCAGTGGAGGGCCACGTGAACGTGGTCACACATCACGCTCGACAACTTTGCCATCGGTGATACGGTAATGCTACACCCGACGTGGCCATTCATCGGATGACGTGGACCGTCTCCAAAACATGATGGCTCACGCATCACGTCAGACGTGGCCACGTCATCATCCCCTTTACAAAACCCGGGGTGACTCACCCCTGCTGCGAAGGGAACTATATCGATCATTTATTTGTGGGTGCTGAAGGGGACAAGTCTTCTTTGTCGAAGGCAACGCTACTCATCACGAGACATCGATCATAGATGTCGAGAAGTGAATCATTTCGTTCGCCAAATGTTGTATTGTGGGACGATTATAAATGGTTTCACCACTAGTATTTTGATGTAGCAATGCTTTAGGAATCGTGCTCCGTGAATCTCAATCCCCAACCGTTCACATCAGAAGTCTGCTGTGAGTCGTAGCCAACATGTGCTCACATCATGCCGCGATCTCTTTTAGGTGGGAACACATGATCGCCTTGTTCCTGAGTCGATGACAAGTGGCCACATGCACGTGATAAAGTTGCATATTGCCGTTCTTCTGCTTTCTTCATGGAGATGGGAGCTCATCACGTCTGATGTTGCTTTGAGATTCGCGAATCATGAACTTGATCTATGTCTGCGAATTTTAAAGCTTATCTGTCGGAATCCAAACAAAATCATTGACGGGGTGCGTGTTTGGGGGATATGGGCCTTAATTGGGATGGGCTGCTTTGGGGGTTCACCAAAGCCAACACTATAGTTTGACCAAAGATTAGAGCCTTTTATGTCCCAAAGATTTGTTGACTTGTAGTCTTCTATAGTTTAACCAAGTCAATAAATTTCTAATTAGGGAAAAAAATATATCATAGAAATGTGAGAAGATTCAATTGTATTCATTCTCAACTTTGCCTCCCTAGCAATTGAAGTATTTATCTCATTATCCTGCAAGTCAGTCCCATGGTTTTGTGAAAAGGAAGAGGCCAATGGCGCCAAGTACGGAAGCAGCATTACGTTTGGGAAAGCAGACAATGGTTCTTGTCGAGGTAGCAACAGGGGATATTCCCTACAATTTTGAATCGCCAGGCTCGATTTCATTTCACTGGTTTCAGAATGCAGCCTTGATTTCAATGCCATGATGACGATAAACTAATGCACGATGCTAGGGAAGTTTGAATAGGAACAGGTGGTGGCAAGTGCAAGAAAACAACAGTATGTTACAAGCAACAACTGGATGCATTCAATGTTGCCAATGAATTGCCACCACAGCCATTGACTCATTCCAAGTGTACTTGAAAGCAGGCGAGAGAGAGAGAGAGAGAGAGCTTAGTTATATGGCTGATGCCAGGGAATTGAAGGTGTCCTCCATGTGAATCCTTGTGCTCCCAAAGAAGCCAGCACGATGGGCATTGGAGTTGGTAAGCACTTTGATTGGCTGGTTGGATTTGCTGACCATAGTTCTCACTCTGCAAGCCATTGGCTGAAAGCAATCATAGGGATATACGTCAAGTTTTCATCTTCATAGTTCCTTCTGTTCAGCTTTTTTTTTTGCATGACTTTGTCATTCATGCGTGCTATGATCACGATATTTCATGAATAATGCAAGTGATGAGGCCATCCTAATCGAGAGATTTAAAGTTATATGAAGTTAATATGGTGAACTGAGTTCTTTGTACTTGCTAAAAATTAAATAGTCATTATTAGGCATGCAGGAAGAAGTCTGCTCATCTATCCTCATACCGACTGTAGCAGAAGTCTTTTTGTACTAAGCAATAGTTCTTATTGGTTTTGTCCATCAACCTAACACCACTATTCCTGACAGTTCCAAATCAAAGACATGGATGAGACATGAACTGAAGAGCAAGTTAGGTAGAAGGAATTCTACAGGTGACTCACTGTAAATGACATATATCATTTGACTACTGGTTAGCTGCACTGCAAGACACTCACTCATTTGTGCATCTAAGTTGCTATCAGATGTCAAGATTAGTAGTCAACACAGCTCACTCATGGCTTAGATTTGCATTGCCAATGGTTTAGTGGCATTGAGCTATCTGCCCAGCTCATCATCAAACCAATGATAGCCCATAATCAAATTAGGCAATGCAGGTGAGGACTTAGCTACTTCTCACAAAATTGTGGTTTTAGGTGGCTTTGATTCCTCTGCCACTACCACCACAAGGCAAGTGGCCCTATGTCATTGAATTCAGCCAGTCCCAATTATTGAAGCACCTTTAGAATGCTGTCCTCAGCTCTTTTCTTCACTATTAGCCACTGCTTTATGAGCGGTTTTAGGAGAATCATGCATCAGTGTCTTTGCATGATCAGCTTTACCTTTTCATAAGCAGAATCAATGATATGTTTAAGGTGACCTGCTCGGATAGTGATCCTGTAACAACAGATATACCAACAGATATCCTATCTGCATCACCTCCTTTTACTTTTCTCTTCTGAGCCAATTATGTTCAATCTTGATACTTGCAAGTCTCATCTCCAACACATGATCATGAAGCCATGTTCTGGCATTGAGAGTGGAAGAGGCCATGAGCCCATGTTTCACTATTCTGACGTAAAAAGGAGCTCCTTTACATGGAGTCGCAGCTGGTGGTGCCTGTGGTCATTTCATGTCCTAGTTCATCATGGAAACCAGGAACGCAAGGACCAAGTCGCTGTCTTACTACAAAGTCATTGCAAAGCCACCAGGAACTATTCATTCCCAGACATCAATGACAGGGACGAGCCAACAGACGAGGAGGGCAAGGGAAAGCGAAGGGCGGGGAGAGCTAAAGATAACAAAAAGGCAACCCCCAAGCGTGCAGCCATCTCCATCCAACGAAGAAAACGAAGTGGTAACAGACAAGAGGAGCCGACAGAGAGGACCACCCAACACAATAACACAGCCATGAAAGGAAGCTGAGCCTTTGAAGTGAGCCGGAGAAAATAAAATTCTAGTGCACCAGACTCCGATCAATGAGAGATTGTTTCCGAAACTACAGGCATCACAACAAGTAAATGCACACAGTTCACGCGACATGTGAAGGAGAAAAAGATTTAATGTCATGTAAAAATGCTTATGAACTATTTGTTTTATGTTTTTGAGTCTCGTGAAGAATGCACAGTTTACGAATCTTTCTACACCGATATGTAAAATAGCTTTTATATTGGCCTTTTGGATTTGGTTGTACAGAAAGTATCATTAATTTCTTTGTTTTTTGGGCGAAATTATGGCTTTTATGACGTGAATGGATACATAAAATGCATGTATCGAAAACATATACGATGATTCGATGTATGTAAACATCCATTCATTTGACGGAGGGAGGAAGACGATGCATCGAAGAAAGGACACGGACCACGTCACCTTGTTCTTTGTTGGTTTCTGGGTTTCTGCATCTCCCGTTGCACGTGTGGAGAGAGACTTGGGAGTTGGACGCCTGCAAGCTTTGCTCGAGCGATGCTGCGAGCTATAAATAGATGAAGAAGAAGCGGAGCCATTCTCTTCTCCCGTCTCCTCTCCTCGTCGCCCGGAGTTGCAGAAAGGGAACATCTTTCTGGAACTTCTGCGACCTCTGTGAATCTTACAGTGTATCTAGATTGATGTAGTTTCGTTTTACGGGAGCATATCTGTATCGCACGTCTCTGGATCGTGCTTCGTCTCCGTCAAATGTGTTGTGGATGATAGAAGGCTTCAAACCAGCGCCTCACAGGTATCTCCCTCTATCACTTCGCCTCTGCCTCTAGTATGTGCTACTTGAGTCGAGAGATCATATTCCCCTGTTTTTTGGGGCAGCTGGGATGTGAGTTGTTTATGGTTTGAGCCTCGTCGTTGGATTAAGAGCAGAAGCTAAAAATGACAAATTTCGGGGAGAGCAACCATCAAAATCATCTTTTTTTTTTTTTGTGGGCGAAACATTGGCTACCCCGTGGCCTCCAGCTGTGTTTGTCTCTCGAGGGATTGTTCATATTTTTTTCGATCGACAATATACTATTCCCTTCATCTTTTTAAGTCTCATTGTGCGGTCTAATCAATTAAATGCTTTTATGTCCTTCGTGGGTTGTGGTCATTATTTGATGCTTACATTTGTCGTTCCTTAATCTCGTTGACATTAATTTCCGACCCTCGTTTTTTTTTCCTTCTTCCTGCGAAGAAGCATTTCATTTTTCTGGGTTACGTTAATTTCTATTTTATCTGTCTTAAAACTATAGTTCTCCTTCTCTTCATATGGAGTCTTGTTGCGTTTCTTGTGCTAATCTTCTTTTTCTTTTCAAGTCAAAGTCTTTCCACTTTGCTCTACTTGTTGTGTGTGATTCTGATGTACTTGTTTGTCTCGTGCTTGAGAGTTCTTTAATAATTAGTACCAGACCGCTTCTCTTTCGCCATGAGGCAATAACTGGTGGAACAACTGCTTTATATGGCTTTCTCATATTGTAATTTA